GATTCAGTGTGTAGATTGCATATTTGAGTGCGCTAGCGGTAGAATACAGAATGCGCATTGTCCATAGGGCTGGGGGGGCAATTATTGTAGAGGGTTCTACAGAGGGGTTATATAACTTTTGGTTTCGTACATCAAAGGGGGTGCACATCGCTACAATGGCAGCGATCAAAGCTGAATGACAGCATCGGTGGTGGTGAGCATCTCCGTTCTACATGTGCATACAGTACCTAGTGCTCATTGACACTTGAAGTATTACGCTGTAAAGTTAACATCGCTCAGCGGGCACTTAATGGCCTCACGTTTGTACTAGATGACCTACATATCCTTTGTTTTCATCGACGATACCGGTATGGTATCATGTATAGTCTACATAGAATTGAACAATTTACCAGATTCTGCACGAAAAATATGTTCAAAAGAGGTACAGTACGTAGTTGTTCATAGTGAAGGGGGGACAGGTAGTATAGGGTGGTTAACGTAGCGAATATTGGACACTGGCGTTAGCGTTTAGTTGGGGGCCGCTATAATGTATCTACACTACTTGGCGAATATTGGACACTAGCGTTAACGTTTAGTTGGGGGCCGCTATAATGTATCTACACTACTTGTAGTTGTGGCAATTATTGATTTATTATTGATTTATTGATTGAATAGTTGATAATGTCTGAATACAACATGCAGTCTCCCCCCCCTTGCACTGTTATAAAAGCCCTTTCCCAACAATAATATTTTACATGCAGCACTGTATTACGTGTGGCTGCTGTTGGCTTACATAGTGTAATATGTAGAATATTCCACAGATCCCCCCGCATCAAGTTGAATCCTAGCCTGCCCGACACCACTGCAAGCACTGTACACTTAACACGGAAGTTTGGGGGGGCGTTATTACGTAGAAGTAATAGCTGCGAATACACCGGAGTAGTAGCAACAACCAACGGGACTCTACAGATGATGTTTTGCTGGATTGGATGCAACCACTACTACTTATTCCTCGATCATTTACTCAGCGACTCAAAGTACTTTAATTCAGTGTTGTATTCAGTTGAGTTGAGTGCAGCAGTAGTTTACAATGCACAAAACAGCAGCAGCCACAAGTAATGTGTGGAATGCAAAGCAGGGCTTTAACGTTATGACAGGCAACTACAATTCAAACGATATCAGCTATCGTTACGACTGTAGTATATTCAAAACTAGAAGTTACTACTGCGTAGTACATAATTGCGCCCCCTACCATTTCTTCCTAAAAATTCCCAACTTTCGACACCCGCATATCAGCCCCTTTTCGCTAAGTAGAACATCATCCCGAAAGGAATTACATGAAGTGGCCGCGCCAATCGATAACGTTGTCGAGCTTTTAAGTTAGACATAGTTTGCGCGGAAAGTGTTGAATTCTAGAGTACGCAGCATACACCAGAGATCTACCAAAGTAATCGGTGATACGGGTGGTCATCAAGGCTCTAAACTTCAAATTGCTAAAACTATTTGACCATTCGTCAGGGTGGTCTATTTCAAATCAGGCACCATACAGTAGTTTCAAACGATCTCGTTCGAGGTTTGATGCACACTAGTACACTACTATTAAAGCACTCAGGCCCTACTCTACATCCAGGCCTGCATGTCCTTGCTTGGTGTCGTTTTGTACTCAGTGTGTATTCACTTACATGATTCGTTGACCACGACAGGACTGCGAGGACTTGGTTAGCTGTACCAGGGTTGTAGGATGAAAAGGCAATATATAAGTGAGAAAGAAAAAGTGACGTGTTGCGTGGGATTTGAACCCGGTATATCCACGTTGCAAGTGAAGTCTTGTATCCACTGCACCGCAGGATAGATTGTTATTGCTACGATACATTTAGTACCATTGGGTGAGATCAGTGGCACTTCAGCATCACGATACTGATTGGTAGAAAAACACCATTTTAACCAATACAATTAAACCAAACTGTTTTCAGCCTATTAGCACCAGTACCACATGTCCAGTGACATCTCAACATCTTGCGCATATCATGCGTGGCATACAAGTTGTCGCATGACTATACAGTAGTATTACTTTTTTCGTTCGGACCAGTGTATTGCAAATTATCCCACTGTTTGTCCGATTAAAATTCTGTCAAGTACTTCCGGAGTAGTGATTATCCCACTATCTGTCCGACTTCACCGATGATTGCTTGCCCGGCCTTCAAGTTTTTCAAAAATGGCAACTCTCGCCACAGCTGTCGTTTACTCCGGCGTAATATATTTGTGCAAAAACTGAGTAGAATGACATGCATTCCGTGGGTTTGAACGGTTTTCAGATATGGCTGGTCGGTATTCAGATTTATTGAACGTTTTTCGGTGTTTGCCCAGCAAACCTTCACCAAAATGTGAGCGCACTTAACAAAGACTATCACACTTAACAAATAATGCATTGTAAATCCAATCTTTGGACACAGTCCACGAAGGCTTAGCCTGAGTGAAATTCCATTCCAAGAGCAAGACTAATGGTGGCTCTCTTGAATTGAAAGTGAATACTGTCTGGATAATTGAGAGATTCTGAGCCAATCAATCTTTCTCCAACAATTTCTGGTTTTGTCCAAAGATTGGATTAACTACGTACAGTACTAGTACAATATTATGCTTGTTAAGTGGCGATAGTCTTTCTGAAGTGCGTTCA